CGAAGCGCGGCAAGCACCTCGACAAGCACCCGCTCACGCTCATCGGCGTCGACTTCAACGACGAGTCGCTCGAGGTCACGAAGGCGACGCTCGCGCGCGCGGGCGTGCCCTTCGAGGTCCAGTGGGGCGACATCGGCGACCCGGCCTTCGTGGTGGAGGCGCTGGAGAAGAAGGGCTACGCGCGCGACTCCGTGCTCCACGTGCGGTCGTTCCTGGACCACGACCGGCCCTACGTCGCGCCGAAACGGGACGCGGACGCGTTCCGCATGTACACGCGCGGCGTCTACGTGAGGAACGACGGCGACGTCATCGCGCCCAAGACCATGCTCCAGTCCCTCGTGGAGCACCTCGAGCGCTGGAGCGACGCGGTCGGGTTCCACGGGCTCTGCGTGCTGGAAGCCGGGCAGCTGCCGCCGCTCGTCGCGGGCTACGAGATGGAGCGCTGCGTGAGCCTGGCCTTCGACTGCTGCCAGACTTTGAGCCACCAGTACCTCGTGCCGCTGCCCCAGTGGCTCGTCTGCGCGGCGGCCGCGGGCCTGTTCCCGGACGCGCACTCGCTCCGGACGTTCCCGGAGTCCGTGAGCCGCATCATGCTGAGCCACTTCAAGCCCCGGGGCTACAAGATCCGCCACGCGACGCTCGACGACCTCGACGCCGTCGTCGCGCTCGAGGCGGGCTGCCGCGGCCTCGAGCTCCGGACGCCGCGGAGCGTGCTCGAGAAGCGACTGAAGGAGCGCGCGCGCTTCAACTTCGCGCTCCACGAGGGCGGCGCGCTGCTGGGCGTGCTCTTCTTCCAGTTCGTCGACGACATCCCGACGCTCCTCGAGTCCCAGTGGAAGGACCGCGACAAGCTGGCCGTGCCGGAGTCCGCGGCGACGCACGCCATGATCCTCGACGTCTTCGCGGACGACGCCGCGGACTCGTCGCTCCGCGGCGCCGTCGCCGCGGAGCTCCTCAACTTCCTGCTCTGCTACGCGCGCGCCCTCTCGGCGAACGTGGCCGAGATCTGCGGCGTCGTCCGCGCGGCGCGCTTCAAGACGGCCCCGAAGATCGGCGACGGGTCCTTCGAGGACTACGTCTTCACGGACAACGGGGCCCACGACCCGGCCCTGGCGCTCCACGCGGCCGCGGGCGCCAAGGTCCAGGCCATCGTCGACAACTGGTGGCCCGAGGACGGCGACAACGGCGGCAGGGGCGCCTACGCGACCTACGTCGTCGGCGCGCCGCCGTTCCTTAACGATTGTGTCCTGGATGAACGTCTTTGCCCAGGGAAGTAAACAAATAGCCCAGGGAAGTAAACAAATAGCCCAGGGAAGTAAACAAATAAATGAATCAAACTAAATATAAAAGTCTAGCTGATATTTACACGAGGCGTCCGCGTCGATGCGGGCAGCCTGAAGACGATGGGTGCACCTCATGCATGACGCTCTGCCGGCGACGCGTGACGCCGCCTCGCCGGAGGAGGTGGCGCCGCTTGCAAGGAGACGCAGAAGGTAGTTCTCACAACATCGATGCCATTACCGCGGCACTCAACTCTCTTTCGCCGGACGTTCTTCGCCCACGCAACTTCTCGCAACCGCCACGCGTAATTGAAACTGAATCCTGCGGTGCCTGCAAAATGAGCTGAGAACTAGCTACAGAGGAACAAAGAAACTCAGTCCCGGGGTTGTCAAGTTCGTGTTTATTCGGATGACGATCATCGCCGGGGAATCCCGGTCTTCCGTTCTCTGCTTAGCTCGAGGCACATTCCCATTGTCGAATCACCAACCATACCATGACATTCGTGCTAGGGTTTTTGGAGATTGACTTCAACATCAACCTATACCTCAAGCAGTCGGTTCCCGAGGCCATCCTGATGGCGAGAGTAGAATGACCTGCGATAATAATATCTCAGTATCATTCTCTCTCTCTCCTTCGGCAGTTCCCTGGATCATCAGAGGTAACCTGCAAACACCCCCCCACTGGGCCCCAGATACTGCTCGATGCGCCACGGCTGGGCCGACTTCGTGCGGTGCCGCGACAGTGCACACTTGTTTTGAGGGACAGCGGTTTGCCGAGGCGAGCCCACGCTCGCGTGCGGATGTAATTTTCGGCATAGTCTGGGTACATCGAGCGAGATATCTGGTCTGGTCTAGTCTCGGCTCGGTCTTCACTCTGAGATCCAAGAGCACAGAAGGTTATCAGACAAATCTCCGCTTGTTGTGGCTAGCGTACAAAGGTACCCAAATCAAGAGTACCTTGCTTGCCCTCAGTATAGTCTGCTGCGGCATAGAGGGCACGTGACAGCGCATATGAGCCTGGATCTTTTGTCCTTGAATCGACACTAGCCGAGCTGCATCGTTGCGTGACGCTCGGAGACCGCTCCTGTATGAAAAGAGTGACAGCCGGTTCGTTAGAAGGCAAAGAGGCTTCGTGGTTGGCGCGGTGTACCCAGCCGTGCGGGAAGACGAAGCTCGTATTTTGCGTTGTTCTATAGCATTCAGTTGCCTGAATGGGGCAGCCGTCAATAAGGATGGTCGTCCCGATGTCGTCGCAGCCTCGCCCACGTGCATCGAGGTCAATGGCGGCATCGTGACTGAGAGCGCTCATGAAGGCTTTGACTCCCAGGTTGGGAGTATATACCGTCGTGGCTAAGCCATGCTTGACAGCGAAGCTTGCGAATGTTCCAACATGGTCGTGCACGTTGAACGTTTCGCACCGAATCGTGTCTCGATGGAGCATCGTCTGGAAGACGTGAAAAAACACAATCATCTTGTCTTTGTGAGCGTTACGTCTCGAAAGGTGCAGGAGCTCGAAGTCAAAGAAATCACAAATTGTAGTGTACTTGGTTGAGACATGCAGCTTTGCACTGGCTGCATGCTCTCGTAGGAGCTTTGCGAGCACATCCCACCGGCCAAGCACGCGGACTATCGTATTCATCTTGCGATACTTGCAGCTTTCGCGTGACTCATTACGATGACGGCATGGCTTCCAAAGTTCGTCTGATGCAACGTGCTCCACAGCGGCGACAGAAAAGTCATTCGAGACGATGACACGTTCCAGTCGAGCTCGCATCCTTGGGCACTCTCCACGGTCTGGGTTACTGTACTTTTCTTCGAGCCATTTTGCATCAGCTATGATGAACTCTGTTGCCATATCATTAAAAAATGGG